CTCCCTTCCTCTGCTACTCAGTTTTTTGTAATGTGACCAAGTGGTCGGCGGGGTTATGAACAAAATAAATTGACAACGCCACCCAGGGGAATTGCACCCCCAGGAAATATATTTAAGAAAAATAGAAAAAAGGAATAAAAGAAGACCGCACAGATTCAAGGATGCACACTGAGGCAGGTTGGCTTCCAATATTAAAACAGTTTTATTTATAGAAATAAATAAAATATTATAAATAATATTTTATAAATGAAATATTAAAAGTCAAGATGTAGCGTCATTATTGACAGTGTCCTACAGTAAAAATAAAACAATCGTGGAACTTGGACTTACCAGCAGCCGTGGAACCAAAAGAAAAATCACACAAAAAGAATCACTGCAGCCCACCCAGTGCTGTACAAAAGAAAGTGTGAAAACGACCCACCACCTGAGGTCCCAGGGCCACTGGCTCGTCCTCGTTCACTGAAATAAAACACAGAAACATATGTTAAAAGGATAAAAGGACACTGAGCGTCAGGCTCGCTACAGATCATAAAAAGACTAAAACACACCTTAAAAGCTTTAATAAAAGAAATCTCACACACACACACACACACACACACACACACACACACACACACACACACACACACACACACACACACACACACACACACACACACACACGGGAAAGGCTTATTCCCCACGGGCCAAACTACCACTCGTGCTGGTAATAATTATTCTCAGGCGTAGGCCGGTCTGGCTCCCCACCGGCTGAGACCGGCCACCCAGGCGATTTAGAGTCCCAGCACGACACTCGGGCAGAGAATCACTTCAGCCCGATTACAGAAGTGTGGGTACGAGCAACAGTTCAGGGTAAAATAGAACACCAGGCGAACCCAAAAAAAGGTAAGCCTACTTAATAAAAACAAGATAAGACAAGACAAGACAAGCTCCACCGAGGAGGAGTCCTCACAACAGCGGCTGAGAAGGCAGTTCACTCTTCCAATTTAGATTGGGCAATTTACCATGGAGAGGTGAGTACAGCAGTGAAACCCCCAGGACCGGAGGCACTATACTCTCATTGGTGGAGATAACACGAACACCTCTCTCCGCAATGGCAGAATTAAACAGACGGCTGTAGCTGTCATATAATCGGCTCTTGCTGATCAGTCCGTCGCAGTACGCCAGCATTTACTGCTGTATCGCACCAGAAGCTCGGGAGGAATTAATCCAACAAAACATCGGCTTAGCTTTATACGGGAAAACACCACCCTGTAATCAATATGCAGGTGGGTTCCTAATTAACCCAATCACATGATACAAGGAGCGAGTGCAGCGGAAAGAGAGCGAGGATGGTAGAGCGAGCGAGAGAGAGAGAAAAAGAAGGGCGAGTAGCCCATCCGGCTACAGTAAGTCATGTGATTTACAAAAAGCTGAACAGCAGAGGGAGGGTACAACAATGTGTGAGTGGACCCTGGAGTGACCTCCCTTCCTCTGCTGCTCAGCTTTTTGTAAGTCACATGATTTCCAAAACCTGAGCAGGAGTGCATGCTCAAGCTACAAGCACCACAGAAAGCAAGAAGGAAAGAGGCCTCTATCCAGTGACCATGGCAAACAGTGAAACAGTAGCGCTTTGAAACCAGACTAAAATGTTTCCGAGATGTCATTCATTTCCAGAAAAGCCTGGAGCTGAAGGAAGACAACTTTTTCCAGGATTCTGGGAGTTTAGAGATTGGCCTAAAATTTGACAGAAGATTTGCTTTTCAATGTGAAACACTATGAAAGGCAGCAACAAGTTTAATGTTCAGAAACCTAAAGTCTGTATCAGCAGCAGGATGGAGCTAAAAATAAATGTTGGTTTCAGTTCTATGAAGCTTTGAGTATTTTGGATCAGTAGCTGCTGTGTTTGTTGCATCATATTGCTGTAACTGTTTATATGCTTTATATATTCTGAGCTAAGCTGATCTATAGTGTTACATCATATTCTATAAGGGGCGGGGCCATTATTATCAGGCCATCCTGATAATAATGAATTACAGTCGTCCAGCCTGGAAGTAATAAATGCATGAACTAGTTTTTCAGCGTCACTCTGAGACAGGATATTTCTAACTTTAGAGATGTTGCACAAATGGAAGAAAGCAGTCTTACATATTTGTTTAATATGTGCGTTGAAGGACATGTCCTGGTCAAAAATGACTCCAAGGTTCCTCACAGCGTTACTGGAGGCCAAGGTAATGCCATCCAGAGTAAGAATCTGCTTAGATACCATATTTCTAAGATTTTCAGGGCCGAGTACAATAACCTCAGTTTGATCTGAATTAAGAAGCAGAGGAGGGTGATAAATGAAAACACAATAAAACATGTTCATAGAGCCAACCTTGATTGTTTGGATACTTGCATGTGTAACTGTCCTTAAAGACGACAGCAAGTCCTCCACCACGGTGACTGAAACAGGGGGCGCCCAAGTAGGAGCAGCCAGTAGGGCGCAGTTCGTTTAGATTAATAACCTCACCATCCCTCTGCCATGTTTCAGAGAGAAACAGAAAATCCAACTTTTTTCCTGTGGAAATCTCATTCAGGGAGAAGGATTTGTTGGCGATGGAGTGGGTGTTCAAGAGGTTCCACATCAGCTTGTGGAAGTGGAACTAACAGCAGGACCAGCCACTGGTTTTGCAATGCAAGCTACGAGGGCACAGCAGTTTACAGGTAATTGACAGAATCCAGAAAATCAGACAAGAAGAATCCAGGCTTCAGTGGCTGTGAGTACGCATTTCCAACCAAATCCAGAAGGGTAACTGGCAGCAAAAACTCCAGACCAGTTGGGGAATCTCCGATCTAGAGGCTCATCTAATGTGTACCTGGATGCTGGCCCTAAAGCCTCTTTTCGATCTCTTCTTAGCCTGCACATTTCGTAAGTAGTAATAAGTAATCCAGGAAAAAGAGCACACAAATGGTGGGGGAAAGTTTTCTTGAAACTGTTCTGATCAACATAAACTCTTTGATGTGGATCAGGTCATAAAAGTCATCTTTTTCTCTCCGTTTTGGAGATGTGTCCACATCGAGAAGACGTTTTTGGTCAAGGAAAACTGAGCGATTTGAAGTGGACAGCGAAAGCGGAGACTTTTGGAAACTAGTTAGTCATATGATGCAGTCATGTGAACAATTAAACTAAGTTGGCAGAGGGAATTAAACAGCAGTTGTTTTGTTTGCTCTCAATTTTGACAGCCCTGTTAAAGATAATATCAATTTGTACATGCTCCAGATAGCTTCCCTTCAAAATCTTTAATTCTAACTCACTTTTGCAATTTTGTACTTTTGTGTTACTCGCAGCAAGAGCTCCACCTCATTGTCAATTCATTTAAAAAACTTGTTGTTTTTCCTCAACATTTTGCCTTTTTGATGTTTTAAGGAGCCGAAAAATAAATAAACGGCAGACAGAAATGACACAGGGCGATTAGTCGTTTCAATGTGAACGAAAAACTCAGAACGACTGAAAACGATAGTGTGGACGTGGAGCGTTTTCAGACGAAAACACTTTTCAAATTTATCGGGAAGATGTAGATGTAGCCTCAGTCTGCTTTGGCTGTCTCCCAGAGGAGCCTGCAGGCATGTTGTTGTGGGTGAATCCCATCCGGGTCTCTCCTCAGCTTTTTTTTTTTTTTTCAGGAGCTCTGAGCTGGTTCAGAAGATGTGATCCAGAAGTTAATCCAGTCTGAGTCACATGTTCATGACTTTGCAGTTTATCAGACAATAAAAACCTTCAGCTTTGTGTTTTTTTTCTTAACCCAACTCCACCTTAAATACTGAGAGACACCATCAATGCTTCACAGGCTGAGGAACAGTAAATAAAATATTCAATTTTGTTTATACAGCGTCAAATCACAACAACAGTCGCATCAAGAGCCTTGAGGCGACTTACATGCTTTGTGAGAACTAAAGTCAACTATTCAAGAACACAGGTCCTCGCCACAGATTTAGCTGCTCCATGTTTATGTAGTTTAATAAAACACAACTGCAATATGCCACTGTCATTTGAATTAAAGAAAATAATGAAAGTTTATTTCCTATACTCACGTTGCTTTAATTTACCTAAGAATTAAACAACAGAAAATGGACTTTGAAGTCATATAAAACAACAAACTGAGCAAATATTCAACAACAACTACTAGAGAATGATTTTTATTCTTTACAACAAATTGAACAAATCATTAAAGACACCAAATGTCTTGCCAGATGTTTTTAGGCTGAGGTTGTGGTTTAGTCTTTATTTTCTTATCAATTCAATATCATTAAAGTCAATCAACCAGAACAACTAAAATTTTCTGTTTCACACATTTATCCTGTACAGCAGGGGTGTCAAACTCAAATACACAGTGGGCCAAAATTCAAACAAAGTCGCGGGCTAACGTTAATATTTATTGAAAAAAAAATCTTCCTCCAGATATAAGAATGAATCTTTTCTTATGGACTCAAACAAGTTTTGCTGAAAAACTGAATGTGGAACAAGCCAAGCTTAATACTAAACAATATATATATTAGCTGTATAATAGCAGTAGGCCAGCTCTAATAGTAATGTGGTATGGCTTCACGGGCCAAATGTAATTAGGCTGCGGGCCAAATTTGGCCCACGGGCCAGAGTTTGACACCTATGCTGTACATTAATCATAAATGTAAAACATCTGGATATTACAGTTTATTTTATTTGTGGATGAGATAAATATTTTCTCTGCTGGAGAGAATTTACAGCAGCTTTTGTGAATTTTCACACAAGAAATGCTTCAACTGAAAACATGGTTTGATAGAAATAAGTTATCACTAAATTAGAATAAAACCACATTTATTTGGAAATTGCAAAAAAGATGGTGGAGAAACATTGTTGATAAATAATGTTGAAGTGGAGCAAGTTTTTCATGCATATTTCTGAGTGTGATATGATGTTCAACATGTCAGGATGTTACAGAAACGACCAAATGATCAATTTTATAAAAGTCAGATTCACAATTTAAATAAAGACACTGACATCTCATTAATATTTTTACTTATCCAGGTTCCTTCTAGTGTTTAAAATAAACAGCCCTGTCCTCAGAAACAGGATGCTGGGTGACTGTAAAGTTGTTAGCTTCAGTTAACCACAGACCACAAACACACAGTCCAGCTCACACTGAACAACACTCAGTAAGTATAATATTAAACACACAAGTTACAACTGAACAAGATTTCACATTTTACATAAAGAAACAAAAAACCCTTGATGTTGCAATTTTGATGTTTGCCTTCATACTAAAGTCATAAGAGAAAATGTGTCAGAGTTTACATTAACACCATGCTCACACATGGTTAATATATGGCCACTAGAGGGAGATGTTGGACTTTAACACTAACATGGATACAAGCAGATCATCAGTGATGCTTCTCTCATCTTGTAGGATGTATTAGAAAAACATGTGCAGGACAGAGGAGAGAGGAGGCTGCACATGTGATCCTTCCCAGAAGCTTCTTTTGTTTTTAATGTGTCAAAGAGGTGTGACACACAAGTACAACCATGGAGGGAGGAAGACTCCTTGAACACAGAGTTAAACTGTCTGTCCTTCAAAGTCTTTCACTTTGATCCATGTTGTGAATTTAAAGTCCGCATAAAAATCAAACATGTGATGAACACTGCAACACCTGAGATCATAAACACAGCTGTAGCTGGACTGCACCTGTGGTCCACTTAAATTCTTGTTTCCTTGACTCCTCTCCTCCAGTGAGAGGGAGTAAGATGTGAGTAATTTAGGATGCATTGTAGGAAATAAGAGAAGGGAGCAGTTAAAACAGTGAGTGAGTGTTTACATATGCTGACTGAGGTTTCTCTGTCATTTACTGATAGCAAAGTTGTATTAAAAGGAAGACTTGTTTATCCTCCAGCTGTGGCCTTCTATTAAAGCTGAAGGTTAAACTCTGCTGCTAAGGACACAGCTGTGCTTCCTTCACTTTGTCTCCTCCTTCAGACGAGGAGACACAAACACATCAGAGAAGAAGAAAAGCCCTCCGACTCCTCGCGTTTTAGTGTGAACCAGGAATCAAAGATGGATGATCGCTTCACTTCCTCTTATTCTTTAAAGGTGGAGCCAACACTTCTTGTTTGCATGGAAGTCCGAAGAGGCCGTTTGGTCTGTTGATCGACAATCTTTTAAACCTCAAGACAAAAACATTGAGTAAAAATGAAATGTACATACAGTGTTTGTGGGCCTGTTGTCTGTGCTCAGTTCATCTGTTTCTGTATGATTTTAAACACTGACAACACCCAGAACTCTGAACAGCGGCAGCAGACTCAAAGCTGGAAAAAGCTCTGAGACATTTCTAGGAGTTAAAATCCCGGTTCTGTCGTTCATATTTTCTATAGATCACAAAAACAATAACAACAGCAACAAGAAACACGGCAAAAACATTCAGACCAATGAGCAGTCCAACAGATCCATCCACTCTGAGTCCTCCTGTGTGACCTGCAGGTGAGAAACAGGTGTCAGCTGTCAGGCAGGTGATGAGTGAAGAACAGAACATTTGCTCTTCAAACTGCTGTCAGACATTATCTACTGATCACATCACTCAGACCAGCTGCTTTCTACAAAGTCTCATCAACAACATCTTTAGAAACAAGCATCAACAACCAGGAAGCAGCTTCACCTCTGATCACACACTTGTCGTGTCCAGATTCATGGGCTGATCCTCCTGAGGCCGCATTTGTAGACCGATTACGTCACAGTGACGCGCCGAAGGCTGTCCAAATTCGTAGACCCCTCCGAATGCAGCCGACAAATGCGTGCTCCTTTTTCCGAATTTGAAGGATGGGTCGGGTGTGTCCTTCGTGGCCCACCATATCCCAGAATTCATAGCGCGGCCCAGCCAAGCTCCAGTTTCCGGCTAATGGCGGCCGCTACTAAGTTTTAAAAATTACTCTTATTAATCTTTCTGGGTCACAAAATAAACTTTTAACATATTTTCAGGCGAGAAAGTAGCTGTGTAAACATCAAATATCTGCTCGGTTTATCAAGATATCGCATCTTTGCTAAAGTGCTTCGACGTTTTCGGAGACGTCTGCTACCCACCAGCTCGATAGCTAGCCGGGAGCTCGAGGGTTACTGATGCGGCCGAGAACGGCACAACTCCCGGCACATCATTTTCAGATCACCGCGGACTTTCGCTGCTCGGGTGTCAGCCGGTGATCAGCTGTGATCAGCTGATCACGGGGCCGGGGTTAAAAGAGAGACGCCACCCACCTGTTCGCCGCTCAGACATCATTCTCTTCGTGTCAGGAGCTCCGAAACTCTGCCGACGTCAGTCTCCGCCTGATTCAGCAACCGTGAGTGATTATCCCTTCAATCCTTTTTCTCTTCCCGGCTCCGCTCGCTCTCTGTCGGTAACGACCGTTCCGAAGCCACGCTTCGTGCACTGATCGTTACTAGAATAACTGCGTGCCTGCTCCAAACCCACCGCTAGCCTTCGCCGCGCTTGGGTCTAGCCAGCACGCCACACGGGCACGCCGAATTACTGTGTGTAACCCGCCCGGCCGTGACAAACGTAATATATAAGTCACTTAGACAACCTAAAAATGTTATTGTTGGGCTTTTTTCAGTGTTTTGTTTGTTCGTGAGTAAATCGGTTTGGCTGAGATTAAAGTTATTAGATTAGATAAAATAAAACTTTATTAATCCCCCGGGTGGGTTCCTCCTTGGTTTTTACACAGCTGACTAAACGTCAAACAGAAAACTGATTAAACAGAAGTGTGAGATGGCCGAGAGTTTACTCCAGTGTCCTGTTATATTTTAGACAGCAAGGAGCAGACGGCCGAGTTTATTAAACTCCACCGAGACAGCGGTGACGCTAATCAGAAGGCTGGACCGTCCAATTTCACGGCCGTTTACTTCCGGCCTACCCGATCTTCTGAGGACCCGGCCCACGTAGACCGCGAAGGCCGGGTCCTCAGGAGAATGCAGCCCATGAATTCGGACACGACCACTCACTCAACTCTACTCACTCACCTGGAGGATCAACTCTCAGGCTGATGAGCTTCAATGAGTCTGTTTCTGCCATGAAGACACCACACTCGTATGTTCCAGTGTCAATAATCTTCACATTCTTCAGAATCAAAGACACGTCTCCATCCTTCATCTGTCTGTCCTGCAGATCCACCCGCTTCTTAAAAGCTGGATGCTGGAGATCTGGATCCAGCTGCTCATCCCGGTACAAAAGCACATATTCATCTCCCAGGTCAGCTCTGCTCCACTTCACAGCTCTGATGGGTTTGCCTCGTGGAGCTCGACATGTCAGAGTGACGTCCTGTCCAGACTCAGCTGTGATGGTTTTCTGGTCTGAAAGAGGAAACAACACAGAGCCGAGAGGTTAAAGGTCAAAGTACAATCATGATCAGAATGACTGACTTTAACCTCCTGAAACTCTTTCATGACATGCATTTTTAATTTCTCTTTGCTATTTGGACTGATTGGGACCCTATGAATGTAAGAACAAAGAATTATCTTTTTAGCAAGCATAAATAAACAGCATTATTTTTTCCTGAGTTTCTGAGTAAAATGAGATCCACATATGAGGACATTTGTTTTAAATTTTGATAGGACGGCGGCAGTATGATGTCCTCGTAAGCAGTGTTGGGTGTAACACGTTACTGTAATTAAATTACTTTTTGTAATTAAATTACTTTTCCACTGAAAAAGTAGAGTAACTGATTACTGTTCATTTTTAGGTATTTTAATTACAGTTACTTACAATGTACTTGCGTTACATTGTAAAATAATTAAACTCGCTGAATATCATTATTTAATTTCATTAATTTATCTTCTAAACGTAGAAGTAAACTCTGCTCTTTAACATGGCTGTAGTGCAGCTACTCGTCATTTCGCTCCAGTTTGCTGCACAGTCGTATTCTAAAGCAGAAGCTGTCGGACTCGCTGAAGCGAGTGGCTGTTTTATGACATGGACACGAGAGCATAGACGAACACTTCTGAGCGATCCTTGTTCATCATCCATGGATAACACCGCGGCAGCTCCTGCTAAGCAGCAAAACCTGGTTTTACTTCAGCAGCACAGAAAGCGTCTGAAGGTGAGCTTAAAGAATGATTGCAGGCTGTGGAAGAGATGCTACTGCTGCGTACTGTAGAGCAGCGGTCCCCAACCCCCGGGCCACAGACCGGTCGTTTGGTACCGGGCCGCGAGAGTTGAGGCTCGGGTGTGAAATGTCTGGTTTTCAGGGTTTTTATCGGTTTTCAGTGTTATTTTGTTATCGTTTTTATCGTTAACTCGGTTTTCCTGGGTCTTTTCACGTGTGTTATGAATAAATCTTCTTTTTCAGTACCGGTACTAGTTTTATTTTGTTGTATTTATCCGCGACACCTTAAAGGCCGGTCCATGAAAATATTGTAAGGCATAAACCGGTCCGTGGCGCAGAAAAGGTTGGAGACCGCTGCTGTAGAGTCTCCGTCTTTAAAAAAAATTATTTATTATGTAAAGAGTTTAATTTCTATTGTTTGTCCACTCAAGGTTTATAGGGATTTTAAGAAGTATTTAGTTAAATTACTTATTAAGTAATTAAGTTACTTTTCAGACACAGTAATTAGATAAGTATTTTAAATACAATATTGATTAAGTAATTAGTAATTAATTACTTTTTAAAAGTAACTTACCCAACACTGCTCGTAAGTGAATATCCTTGTAGAGCAAAATTTAGTGTTCTGGTCTAGACCACCCAAAATGTGATGTCCACATATGTGAATGCCAGGTCCTAGGAGGGTAAATATTTTGTTTGTTTCCTTTGACATTTGAGTTTTTAGTCATGTTGGATTTGATGAACCTCTGAACATCCACCAGGTCACCAGTGACCCACTGAGGGGGAATTTTAGCCTCATGCTAAACATGCAAAGTGTCAGAAACTCCAAGATGTTAGCTTCCACAGAACAACAACATGTGCTGGTAATAAGTGAACACAAGTGAACTCTAGACTACCAGCCACAAAGACAACAGCTGGAGAAACATCTGTCTGCCTCTGACATCCACCAGCTCATCCATACAACAACAAGCATCAACAACCAGGAAGCAGCTTCACCTCTGATCACACACACACTCAACTCTGCTCACTCACCTGGAGGAACAACTTTCAGGCTGATGATGCTGATGAGCTGCGATGAGTCTGTTTTTGCCATGAAGACACCACACTCGTATGTTCCAGTATCAATAGCCGTCACATCCTTCAGAGTCAAAGACACGTCTCCATCCTTCATCTGTCTGTCTTGCAGACCCACCCGGTTCATAAAAGATGGATGCTGGAGATCTGGATCAAAGTAACCATCCCGGTACAAAAGCACATAATTATGTTCCAGGTCAGCTCTGCTCCACTCTAAAAATATGATGTTGTTGTTTGGAGCTCGACATGTCAGAGTGACGTCCTGTCCAGACTCAGCTGTAATGGTTTTCTGGACTGAAAGAGGAAACAACACAGAGCAGAGAGGTTAAAGGTCAAAGTACAATCATGACCAGAATGACTGACTTTATACATTTTGTTTTTTCCTTCGACATTTGAGTCAAAAGAAATAAGCAACAAATTGTTGTATATGTTCCTGGATGTCAGCAACAAAAAGCTTTGTAGCTGTATACTGACTCCTGACACTACAACACATCACACTGACACACATTAGACATCTTTGTCTCTGTCACAGCTGCATTACAGATGTTAAGTGCCCAATCAGTCTTGCATGTCCTTCATACACACAGAAAAACTGAGTCCATATAAAAAATAATAATTCTAAACGAATCATTCACATGTAAACCAGACACATAATCTTTATCACAGATATAAACATCATTTAGTTTGTACCAGCTAGATTTCCAGGTGTGCACTAGGTTGTAGTGCACATGTGTCAACAAGCATGCTGCCTTTTCCAGTTGTTCCCGCTTTTTCTCTTTAGTCTAGCTTTTTTCTTACTTTTTTTTTTTAACTTGTACTTGCGTCTGTTTTAATAACTTTATTTCAATCATGTGGATTGAGAGAGTTTTTGATCTACTTGGGGTTGGAAAATGTTCCTTTTATCGAGCAACAGGACACAGCACAACTTCTACATACTGCACGGGCTGTTTACTCGAGAGAGCAGCTGATAGTACTCAGACCCACAGACGTGCCAGCTGAAATCTGGAGGAAAACACACCAAGGATGCAGAGGTGGAGGACAGAAGAGGAGAAGGAAGGAGACAGCAAGACAGGGGATGCTTGAAGTACAAACCGTGTCTGCCGTCTATCATAATGGGAAATGTTCAGTCGTTAGTAAATAAAATTAATGAGCTAACGATGCTAGCACAGAGTCAGAGGGAATATCGGGAGTGTAGCCTGATGTGTTTCACAGAATCATGGATACATCAGGACATTCCCGACGATAACACGTCCGTGAGGCTTCCACATTGTTCGGACGGACAGGGTCAGTGCCGTGAGCGGTAAGCAGAAAGGAGGGGAGCTTGCTCTTCTTGTTAACAACCGGTGGTGTAAACTTGCCCACATATCATTCAAAGAATGCTGCCTGGACACTGAACTGTGCACTGTTGGACTCAGGCTGTATTATTTGCCCAGGGAATTTACCCATGTAATCTTGGGGCTGCTTATGTTCCTCCCTCTGCCAGCATGTAACACTATCCACTCTGCCATAGCCCGGTTAGTCTCACCACTCCAGTGCCTTTTTTGCAACATTGGGGTACTTCAACCATGTCACTGCCAGCTTTCACACAGTATGTGGTCTGTCCCACCAACCTCAATGACTAGAAGGGTCCAGGTGTTACTAAAGGACAAGATCAGAGAGGCTAAAGACAATAGAGCTCGAAAATGTGACGACAAAACCGCAAAAGGTTGAAGGATTGTAGGAGTGGTAAGTGGTACTAGTGAACGCAGCCTTTCACAAGAAAACAGTACACAGCAAAGAACACAAAGAATGGCAAGAGCTGTTCTATTATTAACTGCAATAGCCGGTCGCATGACAGTGACGGGAAGCCGACGGGTAAAGAGATCGGTTTTAAGCGGATTCCATCGTGGAAGAGAAATTGTTCATGTCATGTTTCCGAAGTAACAAAAAGCTGACGGATGGCCTGGATTGCAGCCATTTGAAGACCAAATATAACGTCCCAGAACACTCCAGCTCACATGTTAGTCTGCTCCAAGCATTTCTACAAAGGTAAGTCTTCCTTTGTAGTTATTACGTAATTTATCATAACATAATTGTTGATGTAGGTTACAAATAAGTCTTATATTGATTTGAATGAATTTGTTGCACTATGCGGCTCTGTTCACTGTGGCTTTGCGGGCTAATGTTTGTTGTGATTTGTAGGAAAACCAGAAACAAAATGCTGGAATGATCCAGACTGAGCCCCTCTATCAGCCTGGGTCATACCGAGTTTAAAGCTGCTACCACAGCCAGATCTGATCGGTGAAGAGACAGAGCGAGATCAAAATAGCCACGAAACGTCCGCATATATGTGCCCAAGGGTTGTATTGAAGCAAGCAAGTCATGATAACGGTTTTCCACTATGTTGTTTTGCAATGTTGTTTTTTCTTTTATTGTTGTCGCATTGTTGATTTGTTTTTACCACAGCAGCTAATAAGCATAATGGAATACAACGTTGCCTCTTCTTGTAAGATTCTATAACAGAATGAAACAATAACGCCAGTTATAAATAATGACAACAATTAGATTATCTCCTGTACAGGCCAATGCAAAAGGAAAAAAATGTAGCAACAGCTGTGAGATCCCATCCATCCATCCATCCATTTTCATCCGCTTTATCCGAGCCGGGTCGCGGGGGCAGCAGCCTAAGCAAAGAGGCCCAGACCTCCCTCTCCCCAGCCACCTCCTCCAGCTTGTCCGGGGGAACACCAAGGCGTTCCCAGGCCAGCCGAGAGATATAATCTCTCCAGCGTGTCCTGGGTCTGCCCCGGGGCCTCCTCCCGGTGGGACATGCCTGGAATACCTCACCCAGGAGGCGCCCAGGGGGCACCCTTGTCAGATGCCCGAACCACCTCAGCTGACTCCTTTCGATGTGGAGCAGCAGCGGCTCTACTCTGAGCCCCTCCCGGATGGCCGAACTTCTCACCCTATCTCTAAGGGAGAGGCCAGCCACCCTTCGGAGGAAGCTCATTTCTGCCGCTTGTATCCGCGATCTCGTTCTTTCGGTCACTACCCACAGCTCGTGGCCATAGGTGAGGGTAGGGACGTAGATCGACCGGTAAATTGAGAGCTTCGCTTTTACACTCAGCTCCCTCTTCACCACGACGGACCGGTGCAGCGTCCGCATTACTGCAGCTGCAGCCCCAATCCGTCTGTCGATCTCCGGCTCCCTTCTCCCATCACTCGCGAACAAGACCCCGAGCTGTGAGATGGAATCGTCCAAATCACCAAAGTAAACTGGACCTGGGCTTGTTGCAGGATCTGAAGTTACCAAACATTTTGTGAGTGTATGAACTCACACTTAGGACCATATAATAATAAATATGTGAATGATGAAACGCCACTCTGTATGCTCGTATGGGTCTGACCCTTTCACCCTTTGATTTTTTTCCTCGTACTTTTTTTGCCTTTCGTCACGTCTATCTTTGTACGGAGCTGCTGTGTTCTCCATCGTTTTGTACATAACTGTTTTGGGGCAAATAAAATGCAAGTAGGGATTAAAACCGCAGAATTAAGGATTACCAGTGCTGGAAATGCTGTGCTTGATGCAATGTTTGATTGTGTTGCCACTCGTACCCACAATGCAATGCGCGAAAGTCACGTGGTCTGTCGATCTCTGTACCAAAGATGCCACATCCCAGCAGCCCCCAGGGTTACAGGCCTGTGTAACTGACCTCCAACATGATGAACACACTGGAAAGACTCATCTTGGACCAGCTAAAACCTATAGTCAGACCACATCAGGATCCCCCGCTGGACAATCCGGCGAGCACTGTGAGGGTCATGTATTTTTTAATTTCCAGTGCTTTCAACACCATCAGGCCGACCCTCCTGGTGATAAGTTAGCAGCGATGCAGGTGGATGCTTCTCTGGTGTCTTGGATTGTTGATTACCTGACACACAATATGTGCGTCTTCCAAAGTGTGTGTCTGACAAGGTGATCAGCAACACAGGGGCACCACAGGGGACTGTCCTCTCCCCCTTCCTCTTCACCCTCTACACCACAGACTTCAGCCACTGCACAGAGACCTGCCATCTTCAGAAGTTTTCTGATGACTCTGCGGTGGTTGGATGCATCAGCAGGGATGATGAGACAGAGTACCGGGCTGTGGTCGACTCCTTTGTCACGTGGTGTGAGCAGAATCATCTGCAGCTCAACGTGGCAAAGACCAAGGAACTGATCGTGGACTTCAGGAAGACCAGGAAACACTTGACCCCTGTTTCAATCCAGGGGGTCAGTGTTGACATTGTGGAGGACTATAAATACCTTGGAGTACACATTGACAATAAACTGGACTGGGCTAAAACACCACAGCACTTTACAGGAAGGGCCAGAGTCGTCTCTATTTTTTGAGGCGACTGAGGTCCTTCAACATCTGCCAGAAAATGCTGAGGATTTTCTATGAGTCTGTGGTGGCCAGTGCGATCCTCTATGCTGTTGCATGCTGGGGGAGCAGGCTGAGGGTCGCAGATGCCAACAGACTAAATAAACTAATCCACAAGGCAGCAATGTTGTGGGGACGGAGCTGGACTGTGTTAGGGTGGTGTCAGAGAGGCGGATGCTGTCCAAGATAAAGACAATGCTGGATAACACCTCCCACCCACTCCATAAAGTGCTGGCTAACCACAGGAGCACACTCCGTGAGAGAATGAGATTACCCATAATGCACCACTAAAGTGTGAACACACATAATTTCTTTAGGGATTAAGGCAAGGCAAGGCAAGTTTATTTGTATAGCACAATTCAACAACAAGGTGATTTAAAGTGCTTTACAGAGACATTGAAACAAAAACAAATAAAAAGCATGATTTAAAATTGATTAAGACAAGCAAACAAACAAACAAACAAACAAACAAACAAAACAGTATATAAATCAAAACAGATAAAATCAGAACAGTAGATAAAATCAGTAGTTAATGTAAGTTTTGAAATTTAAGCTTAAAAGTGTGGATTTGGTGCTTTATTCAAATGCAGCTGAGAACAGGTGAGTCTTCAACCTGGATTTAAATAAACTGAGTGTTTCAGCTGATCTGAGGCTTTCTGGGAGTTTGTTCCAGATATAAGGAGCATAAAAGCTG